GGCAGAAGACCACTCAGCACACTAAGCCCAGAAGTACAGCAAAGCAATCCAAGCTGCCTGGGCTCACCAAGTTGTAGTGTCACATTTTCCTTACATATGTTTAAAGCACATGCCTGACTTGGACACTGGATCAAGTCTGCAATACTTAGGAAGTACTTTTGTTGATCCTGACAAAGTGGATGTGAAATCACCAAGCAGTGACTATGGCATCCCCAAACAGCATGTCTTTTTCAGGTGTATCTCATCCTGGAACCTCATACCAGAAAAACTGTGCACACATTTCTGCTATGATGCTGTACTATTTTAGAAAGCCAGCTCTTTCACTCCATAGCCACCACAACTGGCAGTCTGGCACAGTATCTCTTCTTTATAAACCAATTGGTAAGTAAGAAACTGAACAGCATCACAGTTCTGGAACTCCTGTTACAATTACAGCTGTTTCTTCCTTTAGTGAGAAACTGGAAAGCTGTGAGTTTAACTGTATATGAAGGGATTATCTAGCATCCTCACTCGTGTGATGCAAGAAAATAGTTTCCACCCATGACAATTAAGCTGTCAAACCTATTATTTGCCCACTGACTCCAAACCCCATAGTCCTGACAAATGGTTCTCACTTGAGTTACTCCTTCTGGTTACAACAGAAGAGACATCTCTACTGTAGAGTACGCTTTTCAAGGTCCTTCCCTTCCAGAACTGTAGTAATTGGCTAGTTCAAGTTTTACAAGTGGGGAAAAAAGCCCAAATACAAAATCCAAGCAATGAAAAGTCATTACTCACCCTCTGCTGCACTTTGTTTGAACCTGAACGCTCTGAAAAGGAAGAAACAGCATTGTACAGAGTACTGCAAATTTTCAACACTGGCACAATATGGTCCATTAGAAAAACAGGCATTCACTGTTCAAAGGTACACTGTGCCTGAATGTCAGCTCCCTGGATAGTTAATCCTATGAGGGAAGCCTTAGTTCCTCACAGGCAGGCAAGAGAGAACAAAGAGAGCTGCTCAGGTGACCATGCAGCTGGGGATAGCAAAGGCTCAAACAGCAATGCAGAAAAACAGATACACCATGGCTATTGCTGTTTACCTTGTGTATGATTTGGCAAGTAGAACATCTGTGCATAGATAACGTAGGTGTTTGGTAGGTCTGGAGGCACCCTAACAGGCAGATCAGAACCCAGTGAAGATCACAGCATGGGGATAAACCATGCATGTGCAGAACCACTGATAGACCAGTGTGAACAGCAGGCTGCTCCTAGCACTGAATCCCACACAAGGGTGCCTGCATCTCCACTCAGTGCCTGCATCTCCACTCATGGCCCTCTGCCCAGGTGTTGCTCCAGGAAGTTAATAGCAATAAATTCATTCTTTGCATTCTGGCTGTGAGTTTGTGGTGGCTCCAGCAGCCTGCCTGTGTCAGGTCACACAAGAGTCAATGTTATTACCACAGAAGGCAGCTGCTAATTCCTGGTCACAGCTTTGGGAGGCCAGGAAGGAGGAAGAGACTCCAGCAAGGAGGGATGAAGCTGAAAAATGAGCTAATGCTCTCTCCCCGAGCACATCAAACTCCATTTCCAAGCATAAATGCACATCCTCTTGCCCGTGTTGACATGCATTGACTTCTCCCACCTGTATTTCTCCCTACAGCACTAGGTGTTAAATATTATATAATAAAGTGTGAATTTACACATGAACACCCACACACTCCTACCCAGTCAGTGTTTAACACACCAGCCCAGCTCATAACTCTCTCAAGTGCAAGTATTTCTATTGAACAGAAAGGAAGTCATTAATGTCACAGCAACAGAAGAGAGAGATGTTCATGTTTCCTCTAGAGCAGCAGGGCAAAGGAGAGATCTGACACCCAGGTGAAGCACAGCCCATGCACATCAAACTGTTCAGCCCATGTGTTAACCTGAATACTTAAGCCCTGGTGTTAACTAGAATACTTAAGCATGAGAGAAGCTGGAACTCAAGCATTCACTCCACCACTTAAAGAGAAACATAACCCCCACTCACTCAGCTTCAGTTCCCCAAACCATCACAGGACTTACTGCTGCTTTGAGGGGTTTTGGCCATCTTCTCAGGGCATTTGGAGTCATCAGGTGCCACATTCTTTTCTGGTGTCTGGGCTAATTCAGAAGCTGTAGGAAATAGGGGGAAGGGAAGGAAGGACATGTCAGGTACAAAACTTCCAGCTCTGGCTCGTCAGAAATGGAGCCATACACCTGAAATGCTCTCTTCATATTAATTCCCTAGACATTTCAGGAACTTCTAGGATTTTCTAACTCTAAAGGTGACTGTATTCCTCAGCAAAGATTTTCAAAGGCTGAACTGCTCAATTAATTAAGTTTACAAATATGGCTGATGGCAGAGCACGTTTTGCTCCCTGGAAGATCATATGTCTTTGAATTAGAGCAAGGTTTGGTCAGGCTCACTTAGTACTCTAAGACTGCTCAGCTGGACATAACAGATCATCAGATATGGCAAACACATCAGCTCCCCAGGAAGAACTATTTACCTGTGTCTACTCTTTATCAGTACCAGCTGAAGGTGAATGACTGATGTGGATCTGAAATACCCTGCTAACAGTTCCTGCCATTGTGTGACCAACAGCCTAGTCCATGTAACAGATCATCACAGTATGACTTCCTCAGTTTTCAAACTGAGTCGTGGCTCCAGGAGGCAGCACCAGTGAAATCCACCCTGCTGCAGAAGGAGGTCTAAGATAGGAAACACAACTTCCCAAGACACAGCACCAAAACCAGTTTCTGTATTCATTCAGTAGCATGATCCCTGTCCCTCAGCTCATCCTTTGTAGCACGTAGCATTAGCTGTGACAAACAAACACTAATGAAGTTCAGATGGCACTGAACATACAAGGATTCTTCATGTGAGTGACAACCCTGCTCAAGCACCTTATCTGAACTGAAACAGTCCACCCTCTCTGGAACTGCCACTTTCTCCTTGCTTCTCCTAAGTCTGCAGAGAAAGAAGAGCAAAACATACCCAGCTCTGCCATTTTATTGGAGCGTTTGGGAGTCTGGAATGAGTAAACTTCACCACCACTTATATTTGAGCCATTGCCCACTGGATCTGTGAAAAGACATGTTACTTGCAGCTATTTTAAAAGCACTGATAATATTCCCAACCCAAGAAAGATGGAATGTAACATTTCACTATTTGGCTTTATACTGCAGGTGATACAGAACAAATATAATAATAAAATCCTAGAATCATAATCTTCTCTTCTACCTGTTACCACAAGCACAGACAGAGCAGATTAAGCCCTCAAAAGCAACTTTACCAGCACTGTACAACCCTAACACTGAAAGAATCTCCTGAAGTCAGAGCTGTGTCAGGTTTTCCCCTGCTAATACCTTGGGCACATATTCCAAGAGCAGCAACATAGTTCTTCTCTTCCAGGATCTCCTGAGCTTCGTTATCAGAAATATTCTCAAGCTTCTTCACAAATCTCTTGACACTGACACTCAGCTGAGCCTTGTCCTTCCGTACTTTAGTTCCTAGAATTGTAATAAAAGTTTAACCTCCTGCCATTTCATTATTTCTATTGCAGTAGTACACAGACACAGGACCAGGCTCCTGTTATGCAAATCACTCAACAAATTCAACGCTGAGATGTCCTGCTAAAAGAACAGCTGGTCGATATCTGACCCTATAGCCATTCCTCCCTCCTCCACCACAAATGTGGCTCCTGCAGTCCATGAGGGTAAGACACCCATTTCAGCGAACACCAGCTCCACAGAGAGGAACAGGAGAAATGACAGTGGCTCACACATTAAGTATCAAATCGCATGCAAAGGGATGGTACCTGGCAACTCTTATTTTTTCCTAGAGACGAGGGGTGATTGGAAAATACCGCGCCTGTAGGCTGAAAGCCCTCTGGTCACCACCTGCATGACCTTCTGCTCACAGCAGGACCAGCAGTGAAGCCTGAAAGAAATGCTCCGTGCCTTGTACTGGCAAGTTTTAAGCATCTCCACAGAGGCTCCCCAGCTTAAAAGCAGTCAGAAGTGCAGCAAAGCACTCGTACGGCACACACCGGCAGCCTCGTTCCGCTTTGCCCGTGCGAGTGTTTAACTGCATCAGGCCCGAGGAGCTCCCCGGCTCCCCGCACCGCTGCCCCGGCACCCGCACACGCTGCTGCGGGGATAGCTGGTACCGAGAGCTCGTTCCGCAGCCCGTCCAGTGCTGGCCTGGGACAGAGACACTCTGAGGGGAGCAGTCAAGCAGGGCAGAACCACCCCAGAGGCCTCGTCCTCCTGCAGAACCCAGCTAGGGTGTTGCAGAGCCCCTTTCCCGGGGCCGGCCGCGGCTGCTCAGAGCCCTCTCCCAACGCCCTGGGGG